AAAATCTCCAACTATGATTGTATTCCCTATCAATATCCCCCTTTATCTCTGTTAGTAATTCTTGTATGTACTTAGGTGCTCTTTCTTTCTTTCTTTCTTTCTCTTTTCTTTCTTTCTTGTGTGTGTATGTATATATATATATTTTTTTTATTGAAGTAGAGTCAGGTTACAATGTTGTGTCAATTTCTGGTGTATAGCATAATGCTTCAGAGAGGAAATAAATAAAATAAAGATTAAAAAAAAACAATAGAAAAAAATCAATCAAACCAAGAGCTGGTTTTCTGAAAGAGTAATAAAATTGACGAACCTCTGTCCAGGCTCACAAAGAAGATTGACTCTTTATTTATTATTTGTTTAGTAATTTTTTCCAGCTTTATTGAGGTATAATTGACAGGAAAATTGTAAAATTGTAAAATATGATGATTTGATATACATATATACTGTGAAATGATTACCACAGTCAAGCTAATTATCACATCTGTCCCCTCACATAGTTACCTTTATTTATTTATTTTGATGAGAATACTTAAGATCTACTCTCTTAGCAAATTTCAGGTATATAATACAGTACTGACTAGAGAAACCATGCTTTACGTTAAATCCCCACAACCTACTCAACTTATAACTGAAAGTTAGTACCCTTTGACCAACATTTGCCCCACCCCCCAGTCCCTGACAGCCATCATTCTGCTCTGCTTCTGTGAGTTTGACTTTTTATATTCCACATACAGATAACGTATGATCTCACTTGTATTTCTGTGACTGATAATGTCCTCAAGATCCATCCATATTGGTGAAATGCCAGTATTTCCTTCTTTTTATGGCTGAATAACATTCCATTAAATATATGTGTGTGTGTGTATATGTGTGTGTGCGTATATATATGTGTGTATGTGTATATATATATATATCTCCATTCAAGTATCTGTGGACACTTAGGTTGTGTGCATATCTTGGCTACTGTGAATGATGCTGTAGTAAACGTGGAAGTACAGATATCTCTTCCAGATACTGATTTCATTTTCTTTGTATGTATATCCAGAAGTGGAATTTCTGGATTATACAGGAGTCCTATTTTTAGTTTTTTCAGGAACTACCATAATTTTTTGCAGCTATAAAAATTTACATTCCCACCAAAAGTGTGAAGGGTACCACTTTCTCCATATCCTTGTCAACACTTGCTATCTTTTGACTGTTTGATGATAGCCACATGACAGTTGTAAGGTGATACCTCATTGTCGGTGTTTTTTAGCATTTTGTTTTATGTGTTTTGTTTTGTTTTTGTTCTGGGGGGAGGCAATTAGGTTTATTTATTTACTTATTTATTTGATGGATGTACTGGGGATTGAACCCAGGACCTTGTGCATGCTCACCATGCACTCTGCCACTGAGCTGTACCCTCCCTCTCATTGTGGTTTTAATTTGTATTTCCCTGATGATTAGTGATATTGAGCATCTTTTCATATACCTGTTGGCCATTTGTATGTCTTCCTTGGAAAATTGTCTATTCAGGTTCTCTGTTTTGAAAGAGTTCTTTGATTGTTGTTATTGTTTGCTATTGAGTTCTTTTTATGAGTTCTTTTTAAATTTTGGGTATTAACCTCTTATCAGATACACGTTTTGAAGGTGTTTTCTGCCATTCGTACATTGCCTTTTCATTTTGTTGATTGTTTCCTTTGTTGTATAGAAGGTTTTTAGTGTGCCGTAGTCATGCTTGTTTATTTTCACTTTTGTTCTAGATGTTTTATGGCTTCAGGTATTGCATTTAAATCTTTAACCCATTTCTAGTTAACATTTGTGTGTGGTGTAAAATAAGAGTCCAAGGCTACACTTTTGCATGTGGATATCCAGTTTCCCCAACACCATTTATTGAAGAGACTATCCTTTCCCAATTCTGTATTCTTGCCACCCTTGTCAAAGATATTAACCATATATGCATGGATTTAGTTCTGGGCTGTCTTTTCTGCTCCATTGGTTTATGTGTTTGTTTTTGTGTCAACGTCACACTATTTTGACTGCTTTGGTTTTGCAGTATAGTTTGAAGTCATGAAACTGTGATGTCTCCATCTTGGTTCTTTCTCAAATTGCATTGGCAGTTTGGGGTCTTTTTGGTTCCTACAAATTTGGGGAATTTTTTCTATTTCTGTGAAAAATGCCATTGGACTTTTGATAGGCAGTGCACTGAATCAGTAGATTGCTTTGAGTAACATGGACATTTTAACAATATTGATTTTTCTAATCCATGAGCAATGGATATTTTCGCATTTATTTGTAGCTTCTTCAGTTTCTTTCATCAAGGCTTACAGTTTTCAGTGCACAGATCTTTCACCTTCTTGATTAAAATTTTTCCTAAGCATTTTATTCTTTTTGATGCTGTCATAAATGGGATTCTTTTCTTAATCTTTGGTGGGGGGAAGCTTGCTGTTAGTGTATAGAAATGCAGCTGATTTCCATATGTTGATTTTTGTATCCTGCAGCTATATTGAATTTGTTTATTAGTTCTAGTTCTAAGAGTTTTTTGGTGGAGTCTTTAGGGTTTTCTATATATAAAATAACGTTACCTGCAAACAAAGACATTTTTACTTTTTCCTTTCTGATTTGGATACCCTTTTCTTTCTTCTCTTCCCTTCCTTTTCCTTAATTGTTCAGGCTAGGATTTCCAGTACTATGTTGAATAGAATTGGCAAAAGTGGGCGGCTTTGTTTTATTCCTGATCTTAGAGGAAAAATCTTTAGCTTTTCACCATTGAAAATTTTTTATATATGCCCTTTATTATGTTGAGGATGCATTCCTTCTATACTTAATTTATTGAGAGTTTTTATCATGAAAAGAAGTTTAATTTTGTCAAATGCCTTTCTAAATCTATTGAGATGATCATATGATTTTTATCTTTCATTCTCTTAATAGAATGGTATCACATTTATTGATCTGTGTATATTGAACCATCCTTGCATGCCAGGGATAAATCCCACTTTGTCATGGTTTATGATCCTTTTTAATGTGCTGTTGAATTCAGTTTGCTAGTATTTTGTTGAGGATTTGTGCATCTATGTTCATCAAGTGTATTGACCTGTAATTTCATTTTCTCATAATTTTCTTATCTGACCTTGGTATAAGGGTAATGCTGGCTTCTTAAAGTGAATCTGGAAGCATTCCTTCCTCTTGAATTTTTTGAAAGAGTTTGAGAAAGATTGGCATTAATTCTTCTTCAAATGTTTAATATAATTCACCAGTAAAGCCATCTAGTCCTGGACTTTTCTTTGTTTGGAAGTTTCTGATTACTGAGTCGACCTCTTTACTAGTAATTGGTCTATTTAGATGTTCTATTTTTTCATGATTCAGTCTTAGAAGGTTGTATACTTCTAGACATTGATCCTTTTCTTCTAGATTGTCCAGTTTGTTGCTATATAATTGTTCATAGTGGTTTCTTGTGTATTTTGTGGCATCAGTTGACTGTTTATTAATGACTCTTGACTAGGTGTGTTGCTTTTACAAAATAGGTGGCAAAACATATTAAAGCCAAAAGGACCTAGAGGATCTGAGTCTAATTCCCTCCTTTTAAAGAGAGAAAAACTGGGTCAGAGGGCCTAGATCTGTTTAAGGTCCTATAACTTTTTAGTGCCTGAAGTCAGACCCTCCAACTAAAAGCTCCTTCTATCATTGAATGGTACTTTCTAGGCTTTAGGGTGCCTAGCTGGCAACACTGATACTGATGATAAAGGTGATGAGTGTGCATCATTCTCCATTATTCTCCCCACTCTGGCAGTGGCCCTCAGTTATGAAATGAAGTGCCCTGTGGTTGAAATGAGCATCCCTACATAGTTCTCCTTATTCCAGATCCATCAGATGTCCTGCACTCTTTTAGCAGATCCAGGACTATAGCTATCTGTACACTGGATATAGAATATGCTTTAGCGCTTCCAAAATGGCAGTTTCGTTCATTCAGAAAACATTCATTGAGTGCCTACTCTGTGCCAGACCCCCTTCATGCATTGAAAGTGTTGCAGGGTATGAGACGAAGTCCTCACCATAGGGGACCTTATTTTATTGTCAGGGAGACAGAATCCATAGCAACCACTGGCTGGAGATGAGGAGCAGCCGCTCCTTTTAGGGTGATGCTAGCCCTGTGGTCCACTACAGTTCCCTGCATTCACTCGAGACACTGATATGTCCTAGTATCTACTGAGCTCTCTTGTCTTAGATCTCTGCCTGGCCTCTGAGCCACAGATTTACCATCTTAGAGTAAGAACCTTCTGACTTTCAACAGTAAGAATAAGCATGGTTTCAGGCCCTCAACCCCATCTAACTAGGGATAGTCCCTGGCTAGTAAAGGATGAAGTAAGTCAGGCTTTGTGATCAGGGCGTATGTGTGAAGAGACAAATTCAGACTAAGCAGGAGTTACTGCAAATCACAACTGAGGGACGACATCAAAGGTGCAGATGTTGGTGGAGAAGGGAGGGCAACTTTAATCGGAGAGAGTGATTATTGAATCTAATTAGCCTCTCATTTTCATTTGCTGAAGGAACATTCAATTCACTTAACACCACTCCACAGATCCTTCTACTGTCATCTGTACCCAGGGGAAAACAAATTCTGGTGTAATAGAGCATTTGGACAGCAGCAGACTTCAGCAGGGAGAGCATGCAGCCGAAAATGTGGAGTCCTGGGTCCCAGTCTTGGCTCTGTGTCTACTGGTTCTGTGACCCTGGGCACAGTGCCTCACCCTGAAGGGACCTAGGGCCCATCTGCTAAGTATGGAGATTGGATTAAAATCTTTCAAAGGTCTCTTTAACTCCAGAATGTTGTATTGGTTTTTCAATGCATATCTCCGTACTATGGCTTAGTAAGGCATGCAGTTAGAATTTTGGAATTACTTACTATATGATTCTGTCGATAAGAGTTTGAGCTTTGGAATCAGACAGCCCTGAATTCCAGTGGAGATCCTACCCATTTAACTTCAGGCCAGTTACTTAATTTGTCTAATCCTCAATTTATGAAACCAGGACAATAATAACAGTATTTATTTTATAAAATTGTTTTGTGGATTAAATGGGCTAATGTATTCAAAGCACTTTGTATAGCATCTGGGACATAGTAAGACTCAATAAATGTTTAGCTGTTATTATCTGGTGGCCTTGTGTATAGAGTTTTAGAATAAGTTGGCTATTTTGTCTCATTTTTAAAAAAAATATGGGATGGGTCTCTTTTTAAAAAAAATTGCTTGATGACATGGTGGGTAAGCTAAGTAATGGAGTGAGACTGAAATAGCTCACAGAAATAAAGCATTTAATGTGGGAATAAATGAAGTTGCCACCCAGAACTCATAGCCAGAGTCTTGGTTGGGCTGTAATTAATGAATACGATGGCCAAGATTTATAAGGATATTTTAAGAAGTAACTGCACTTCATGGAGCCCTGGACTTTATGCGTGGGCTGAAGGAAGATCAATGGGAAATCCATTAGGCCCAAGATTTAATGGGTGGGGACGAGGTTTTGTCCCTGGCACTGGGGCTCTGTGCATGGCAGCTACTAAGGATGTTTTCTCTGAGGTGGAGGCCAAGGGGATGTGAAAAAAGTTGTTGACCACTTGGAGCCGAGAGAGGAAGAATGATGTCCTGTACCTTTTTGCCTGTTAGAAAATGCAGAAAGTAGACTCCCAACCTGAACTTTTCTAAAGAGCTTTCTCCTCTGATGCCTTGGATACAGCCCAGCTGGCATGTGGGAGGCTTCTTCAGCCTTCCTTTCTGAGGGAGACTTTGGGCAGAGCTCCACTGAGCACCAGGTACCCTCTGCTGCTGGAAGCTTGGGCACCCTGAGGATGTAAGTGCTTGGGGATGTAAGAGATGGCGGATCAGTTAACAGCCATCAACAGGGACACCTTGTGCTGGTCCAAAGTGCGTTCCAGGTGGCCCCTTGCACCCCAAGGCCCTGTAATAAGCTGAGATTTGCTTTGTGGCTTGCCTCATTGTCATCAGTAGCAGAGAGAGGTAGCTCATAATATCCTTCAAAGACCTCTGTTCTGCGCTGGGATTTGGGGATAAAAACCACATACACGTTTTCAGTTCCCCTCTCACTCTTTGTTCAAGGAAGACCAAAACTCAGAATCCAGCTTGCTGAGCCTCCCTGGACTTTACTTCTGAGTGCACCAGGCCAGGGAAACGTCTACCTCAGGGTCACCACTGGGAAAGGGGATTTCCTGTCTTCCTTGTCCGCGTGCAACACGTTCATGCTGCTCCAGCTCTGTGTTGTTCCTTCTGCCTGTGTGTCCTTCTCTCGGGAGCCCAGTTTTACCTCCTTTTAGGGTCCTCTCCTGGGATAACTGTGAGCTTGGCTGAATATAAACCTGGCACAATTTGTCCTCATTGTTCCTGGATTTAATACCTGGCCTCTTCCATGTCACTTGCTTGTGCTTTTTGTAGCTGCTTGGCAGCTGGCCTGCCTATGGGTGGGGCTGTGTTTCTCCCAGCTAGCTTCTTGCCCTGGGGCTTCCCAGGACTGATGCCTACCAGCCAGCGGGCCAAACCAAGTCTTGGCACTAATAAGCTAGAGAGAGAGGATTCCACAATGGTGCTTGGCAGCACCAGTGTCTTTGTGGTAGGATGAGCTTCCAAAAATGGCTGCTGCCAGCATCTGTGTCCCCAGGATGAATCCCCACTGCTTTTTGCTCTTCTGGAGGCTCTTCAAGGTCAGCAGGTGAGTCTGACAGAGGCTCCTTTCAAATTACTGTTTCTGCCCTGGGTCCCAGAGTGTGTGAGGTCTTCTGTGTGCAGCCTTAAAAGTTTAGTCTGTTTCTCACAGTCCTCTGGTTCCCCTAAAGTCTGCCCTGTTGGCCTTTAACGCCCAGCATTCTGGGGGCACGTCTTCCTAGTGCAGGAACCCCAGGCTGAGGAGCCTGACGTGAGGCGTGGACCCCTTGCTCCCTGGGGAGACTTTCGCCATTGTAATTGCCCTCCTGTTGGTGGGCCACCTGCCTCGGGGTATGTGTCCTGCCTGCATTGCCTCTCTGTCTCTCTTGTCTCATTGTGGTTCCATTTTTTAATATTTTCAGTTGTAGACGATCCTTTCTTCTAGTCTTCAGGTTGTTCTCACCAGGAGTTGCTCTGTCAGCAGTTACAGGTTTGGTGTGCTCGTTGGGAGAATGTGAGTTCAGGGTCTTCCTACTTTACCGCTTGGGCCACACCCTGGAAGAATCGATTAGGTCTGCATTTACAGGAGGAGAGAGACTGGAGGCAGGTCTCCAGGAGGGCATGAGCCAGGCTGCTCCTTCACTGCAGCCTTGCATGTGTTTGCACAGGACAGCACAGGATGACATCTACATAGACGAACATGATTGATTGAAGATGCTGTTAACTGAGATGGAACATTTGGAATGAAGAGGAATTGTGAGGATGGGAGGAAGGGGAGAGTAGGATAGAGAGCATGAATTTCAAATGTATCGTGTTGAATCTCATTGAGATGCCTTTAGGGAATCCAAGGGGATGTATTCAGGAGACAAGCTGTGGCATGAGAATGGATTTTTGGAGAGATGTGGAACCAAGGAATTTATATTTAGAAATTATTAGCATACAGGAATTATGTACTGTTGGCATGAATAAAATCATTTTGGAGAGCATTATGAGGGCTTAGAAAATGCCTTCTTGGAGTTAACCATCTCTTAAATTGATACAGCAGTCTGTAATACTGAGTCCCCTTTGTGTAGAAGCATCTTTTCTGATAATATTGAAAAGATCCCTTTTATCTCTGACTCATTGAGGTAGAAAATCTTGAGGTTATTTTTGTAAACTCATTCATTCTCTCATCCTCACTAATACCATTCAGGTCAATTCAACATCCTGACTGAGCCCCTAGTGTATAAAAATCACTACACTAAATTCAGTAGGGTTTATGAAAGGAGTAAGCCCTCCCTTCAAGGAACTTCCAGCATCTTTGAGAACGTAAGCAAGGGTGTAAGTGGCTAAAATGCAAGGTAGAAGAAAGCAAGTACCATTTTCGTTAACAAGTTGAATGCTCCAAGTGTTCAAAAGATGGAGGAATTAGTCTGTTTGCCGAGATCAGAAAATGTTCTGTAGGGAAGGTGGTCTTGAGGCATGAACAGATGAACGATCAGTGAAGACAGAAATTAGTGATGGAAGAAACAATAAAATGAAAGTGACAGGGAGGAGTAAGTTCGCTGATTTGCAAGGGGATTTTGGGAGGTAAACCTGAGAAGATGCTCTAAGGCCTTGAACACCAGGGTGAAAAGATTGTATTTGATTGCATAGTTCAAAGAGCTCTCTTTCAACAGTATTTCAGAGGTCACTGCGAGGCCGTCCTCAATTTCTGAACAAATGAGTGTTAGAAGAACCGCAAACCTTTTTCAAGGGGAAAGTTAATTGATTGGTATGACAGAGTCATCATTTAGGATCCACCCCAAATTGGAAATCCACTTCTGCCCACAGATACCGTTTGTGTAGAATGAAGCCCCAGCCCCAGGCCCCATTCCTTTAGATCTGGATCTGTGTTCTCTTAGTGCACGATTCCCTGGAGGGGACTGCTCATTTTTCTCCTGAGTCATCTGTTATCTTAAATATTGGCATCTGAGAGATGAGAGTTTTCTAAATGACACTTACAGAATGCCTGTAAACACTGCTCATGTTTAGAACAGGTTTCTTCATTGACCTTGTGTCATTGATGTGCTCCGAGCTGCTGTGGGGCGTTAAATTCCCTGGAGCTTTACCACGGAGATACACTCCCAGGTCGTAACTCTGTCGGCTGCCGTGGCGTGGGCCCCAGACGTTTATGTGGTGGTTCCCATAACCAATCTAACAGGATCTCCAGTAAAACCTGAACTGCCACAGGGATACAATATTTCTTTCCCTAATTGCTCATAATTTCATCCTATTTCTTCTAACAGCAATTGAAGATGACATTACACTCCCTTTTATGTCAGTTGATGATGCATAATTCTCCTGGAACAGCCAACGACTGTATTTACTAACACATTAAAAAACATCGATGTGTATTCAGGTCAGAGCCATTTTTACATCAGTATTTTATGTGTGCGTCAGATGGTGGAATGTTGAAGAGGGGCTTCATTCTTATGAAAACCACCTCCCACCCTTGCAGACAAAATGTACAGCTGCAGGCCTGTGCTTGACCAGAGGTACTGGTTATCCTGTTTGTACCAGCCCCCACTGACTCCCACCCCAGCCCCAGAGTCACTTTCTGTCCTTCCCTAGCTTGCTCTGAACTTGCGAGTCTGTCTGTTGCAGGCTGTGTGCCCCCTGGTCCCTGAATGCGTTTACCTAGTGGGAGGCATCAGCAGGAGACCAGAGGATGGGAGGAGAGAAATGATGGCCTTTCTTCCGTGCTCCCTCTCCTTGCGTTAGTGTGGTGTTTCTGGCAATAGCTCTTCCCCACCATGACCATCGTCTTCCCTGGCTTCTGGTTATCCAGATTCCTCCCCTTACCCCTTCTTCACTGGAAGTGGAGCAGCTTTCATCAGTTGCTGGTCCTTGGGTGCTTCAGTACCCTCACCCACTACTCTGCAGGGAACCCCTTCATATGGTTCTCTTCATTTGATCCACTTGGGAGAGTATTGCATTTCCCATTGGGATTCTGATGAAAACACCAGATACTGCAGCTTCCAAATAAATTATCTGGCAAATGAGCTATTCGTTTACCTTGCCTATAACCTGCCTGGATCCTTCTTTCATGGCCATCAGGGGGCCCACTATGGAAATATCATCAGAAATAATTAATTATAGAACATTGAAGCTTACTTCTGAAAAAAAAAATGGGGCCAGAATATTCTACTTGGAATGGAGACACGATATATTGTAGGTTTTTATATGCATAGCTTATGGGAGCACATAAGATGATAAAGTTTTGATATGAATAATGTGTTCACTGATGAAAGAAAGGTCAGACAAAGAGGCACAGTGGACCAGCTCCATGTGACTCAGCAGAGTTACATTTCTAATTGAGAAACCAAAAGGTGGGGTAGATGGAACATTGAAGATAATAAAGGCTTGTCCTCCATATATGGGTTCCTGATAAAGGATTGCTCCGACTGATCTGCATGATTAGGACAGGATGGAAGTATCGAAAATTATATACAATACCAAGGGCTCTCTGATAAAAAAAAAATGGACAGATTGCTTGGTATGAGAATTCTGCAGATCTTGTTCCATTCTCAATTCTACCACTGTGAAAGCTTTATCAAGTCAGTGAGCCTTAATTTTACCAAGGGCAAATGGGAATAATTACAACCAATTTAGCTATTTCATGGGATTGCTATGCCTATAAAATTTAGTTAAAGATATGAAAGCACTGAGGTATGCATACATGTTTACTACCAAAATAAGATCTTTATTTTATCTTATTAGTAGAAATGGAGGCTAATTTTTTTTCCCCTTTAATGTGAAAAGTATACCTGATTTGGAAGCCAAACTTGTTGCCTGAGGCTATGTCTAATGGGCCTCACTAGGACCTGGAGCTCAGATGTAAACCACAAAGCCATTTTGCCCGCTGTGCGTTGCCCTGCACACACAGGAGACTCAGTACATACTTGCAGACTAGATTTATTTTATCTAGATTGGTTTGGATATAATTGATATCTTAATGATGCAATGGCATAGACCAAAATACTAGGTGACTTTTCTTAGAACACCTTAATTTTGAGTAGATCCCAGCTACATTAGTGGACAGGTTCTCATTTTTAGAATAAGGACTAAGACTGATGGAAAACTCCTAGTGGGCTTTCATAATGATTAACAACACAGAAAGTGCTGGAAGTTCTGTTGCGTTCGGTGACTCTGGAAGCAAGTAATGAGGCAGTCTGCAGAAGATTCTGAATTTGGTAGAAATGACAGCAGGCTTTCAATAAAGAGAAGTGAACGTAATTGAGGTAATCTCTTCCTATCAAAAATGGAGAGAGGGACTCTTTACCATGAGAGAGATATTAATAAAGTCATTGAAATAGCATAGAGTCTGGCATCAGAAAAGCTTCATCACTAATTTCTTGACCTTGGAGCAGCTTTTTGTAAACCTCTCTGAGTCTCAATTCTCCCGCTTGTAAAGTGGGCATAAAATGCCAAAGTTGTTGATTTACACACACACACACACACAAACACACGTGCTTTCATGCACATAGTGCTCAGCTCAGCGCCCAGTATAGAGAAGGTTGCTAATAGCAGTGATTATTAATGAAACAATAATCTGACTTTAGTTGGCTGTCTTTTCCCCAGTGCATATTAATTGGTATAGGCTACACCATTTTAAAGTAACGAACTCTGAAATATGTGTGACTTAATATAAGAAAGCTTTATTTATCACCCACGTCACATCCTGACATGAGTTAGGTGGCTCTCTTTCAGGAGGTGATACAGATCTGGAATTCATCCATCATGTAGTTATGCCGACTGGGACTCCTGGTTTCAGTGGAAGAAGAAGCAAGGGATGGAAGATGCTGGCGTGATGCTTTTTAGGGCCAGGACTGGAATTGGTCTTCCATCTCTTCCGTCTGCCATTCATTGGCCAAAATGTAGTCGCATGGCCTCTAACCTAATTGCAAGAGAGGCTGGCAAATTTAGTTTTCATAGTATCATCCAGAAAATAAAAATGATGAATCTCTGCTACACATAGCAGATACAAGACTCAATGGTCCTAAGAGAATGGATTGATAAAATTCTTCTTTTATTTATTTGATAGGTTTCCTGACTTTTTAGATTGTAGTATGTCAGGACCTTGGTTTGTAAAGGATCCAGCATGTTCTAGTCTGTCATGAAGCATGCAGCTTAAAAGGAGCCCGAGGCTTGAGCCTCTTTTTGCACTGCCCTGGACAAGCTGCTGCAGAAGGCAAGGGGGTGAAGGTTATCGGCCTGGAGAACAGGAAACATGTGGCGAGCAGTTGTTTGGCTGCAGGGATCTGCCAAGAGGAGCAATGATGTACAGCTGCTTTGGGTTTTAGCAGATGAAGCAAGAGGCCCAGAAGCTCCTTAGAGATTAAGAAGGAAAAAAAGATGTCTCAGTGATCTGGGGTTATCACGGCAGTTAAAGGAAGGAAAGCTGTCGGCTCACCTGGTTGGGGCTGGGGCTGCAATGGCGTGGTGACATCAGAGTCACGACTGGGAGTAAAATAGCAGGAAACGGTTATTATAAAACCCAGAAGGAGCCTTTAACTTAGACAAAAGTTTTAATTGTTCTGTTCCTTTTGAAAAATTATGTTTGCCCAGTTATCGTTTATAATTGTTTTTTACTACCAGTAACATTTACACTTGAGGTATTAACTGGAGGTAGGACCTAGACTTTACACGTGACATTTTATTAATGATATATTTTGTATAAAATGCGTGGACTATTTGGGCCTCAGACTTAAAAGCCTTGCTCACTCCTACCTATGTGTTTATACTGATTCTCCTTCTTAGACTCTTTGTCTGTTTAAATCCTTTCTTTCTTAGGTCTCTAACTCAAGTACCACCTCTTCCATGAAGGCTTCCCTGGGATTTCTGCATACACGGTCTGTCGCCAGTAAACTAATGTCCATGTGACATTACCGGACATTTACAGCACTTAATCACACACCCTCTTGTAACGTTTCTTGGTTTGTTTCATGCTGTCTAACTCTAGGATTGTTACTGAGCTTCTGTGGTGATCATGTCTTGGCTTTGCAACCTGAGACTTCGCACAAAGTATACAGTAGGTGCTCCATAAATACATATTGTCTTTGATGAATACATGCCATGGCCAGACAAGTTAGGGTTGGGGGCTGAATTATGTAGCAAGAAATGCAAACGTGCCCCCAAACACAGTTTCCTTGTAAGAGTTCAGATCTGGAGACGTGGTGTTGGAGTTGTCTCTGCCGGTACTTTTCTGCATCACTGAGAGGTGAGATACGGTTCACAGAGGCACCATCCTCTTTTCTTCTGTTTAAGTGGCAAGGAGTTAAGCTGGAGCCTCATTAAGAACAACTGGAAACACACAGTTGTCAGTCTCGTGGTGGGAGGATGACCCATGCTCTGTACTTTGTGAGTTTAAGAGGAAATGGAGTCTGTAAGCATGCGTAATTGTGGTGGTGGGTAGTGTTGTTCTTGGGATAACTGTAAGCATAAATAGATCTGCACTGTCACAGGAAGCAGGGTTGTCTGGGCCCACCTGGAGACGGGAGAAGGAGAGAGCGTGCAGGATAGGTGGGCATCCATCTACCTAGCTAGCAGCCCAGTGACCCCCGGGAAAACTTGGTTTTAAATCCTGCAGTTGATCCTGTGTCAGGACCTCACTCTCAGAGGAGCAGCCCCTTTAGTTTTGGATCAACACCAGAGGGAACAACCTGGCCAGTCACCTGCAACTTCAGACTCCTCTGTTTTCACTTTGATTGGATAAAAGTACATTGAGCATCTACCGTGGGCCAGGTCCTGGGGAAACAGAGCTGGTCTGGGCCCTTGTGAAAAGACACACCAGGGAGTCACCGTGTGCAGAGTCAGAGCTAAGCCTCGGAATCCCAGGGCTTTGGCTTCTGTTTGCTGTTTATACTGAGCTCTCATTTCTTGAGCACTGACTGTGCATCAGATGTTCCGCTGCATATTTACATGTATTATCTCATTTAATCTGTGCAATAGTCCCCTTCCTCTCATTCATTCAACAAGTGCATTGAGCACCTACTATGTGCCTGGCAATGATCTAGACCCAGGGAGAGCAGCAATGTAGAGTACGGACAGAAATTCCACCTCAGATGGACGATACGTTCTGGTAGCTGAAACAGATAATGAGCGAAATCAGTAAGTCAGACAATCAGTGCGTTAGATGATGATCAAGTTTAAGGAAGAAGATGGGCAGGAAAAGAGGACAGGATGGCTGGGAAGGCCTCGGAGAGAAGGTAAACTTGGAGTAAAGACCCAGAGGAGGGAAGGGGGTGGGCCATGCAAGGATCGGAGGGAGAGAGTTTTGCAGGGAGAGGACGGGGGCATTGCAGTATGAATTAGTGTGGTATGGGAACACCTCTTTGAGAAGATGCCACTTGAGCAGTGACCTGCAGGGGGTCAGGGTGAGCCAGGCAGGTACCTGGGTAGGACAGACTGTGTGAACTATGTTTGGGGGACATTAAGAGGCTCAGTGGGATTGAAGCAGAGTGAATGGGGGGTTGGAGGATAATGGTAGATGGGGGCAAAGAAATCATGAAGGGCCAGATTGTCTGAGCCTTGGAGGGCACTGCAAGGGGTGAATGAGAATCCAGAGGAATGATATGATCTGCCTTAAGTTTTCATTGGACCCTCCTGACTATCGTGTGGACAGCAATCTGCAGGGAGGCAAGTCCCACAGCAGGGAGACCAGTGAAAGGCAGTTACAGTGCTCTCGGTGGGAGATGGTGGGGATTTGGACGAGGGGGTAGTGATGGAGATAGGGAAAAGTAGCCACATTCTCTCTATATTTTGAAGGTAGAGCTGGCAGAATTTGGACAACATTTGGATGGGAGGTCCAAGATTTATAGACCTGCACAGTGATACCTGTCCTCTTTCAAGGGCCAGCTCCAGCACCTGCTCCTTGAGGAAGACTTTGTTGAGTGCTCCCGAATCTTTCTCTCTTCTAAACAGTAGCATTTATGGGCCATTTATCAAATACTGCCTTGAACTGAGAGCCTTTCCTTTTTAATGCTTCTGTGTTTCATCTTCCCAAGGAGCCTCTAAACTGTTAAAGAGCTGAAACTGTGTCTGATCCTTCTCAGCATCTCCCAAAGTTCAAGACACAGTGCCTAGCACACAAGGAATAAAAATGGCCTTCTGATTATCAATTGATACAGGACCGTGGAGTCTCAGCATTCCTGTCCCAGAGGCTTATCGCAGCCCCAGGGGCGGGGATGTAGGAGTGTGGGAAGAGTGCTAGGTCTGGACGCTAGTGGAGGGGACTTACAGTACTGCAGGCGCGTTGGCCACACTGGGCTCTCCCGGGAGAGGATCTGCATCCCAGAGAGGCCGGGTCTCTTCCCCCGAGCGCACACTCGGGGGTGGTGCACGTGGTATTAAAGAGAGAACGTGCCAACTGTGGTAAATGGGGAGACAAATATAATACCAAAACCAAACAAAATGGCTCCAAGCAGGGGAGTGATTTTTCAACATCTCTTAGTTTGAATGTTCAGAGTGATTTGAAAGTTTTTTCCCCCTTTAAGGATTCCCTAAGACTTTGGGTCCCAATCATTTTTTTTTCTTTTTGAGAAGGTTACTATTTATTATTCCAAAACCTTCTGTGTGTGTGTCTGTGTGTGTAGTTAGGGTTCAAGGCTGAGGGTCGTTCTTGACCTACCACCAGTGGTAAATAGCCAGGAAAGGACGCAGGTGGATGCAACCCCAGAGGTGGGGGCCATGCGACTGCTCAATGAGTATCTGTGACTTACTGATAAAGACCCTCAGGAAAAAAAAAAAGACCCTCAGGACCAGGAAGTCAGATCCTAGACTTAGTTGGGAGACCTTTAGTAAAAGGGGAAACTTTTAGTAAGCTGAATTTACTAAATTACTGAATAGCCTTGTGGACTATTCAGCTTCTAGACCAGTGTTTTCAACCTCT